TATATCACTGTGCTGTCAGAAATAATCATTGATCAGTTCTGAGACATAAAAAATTCTGTACCAATACATCACTGTGTAGTTATCACTGATCATGATAAGAAAAGATTCATGAAATCAGATAAAATCATCTTGGCACAGAGTTAACTCAATGCTAAATTGCATACAATTTTGTACACATGATGACCTTTTAGCTGTTGTGATGAGTGAAGGTGTTGTTTACACATGCTAAGTGGTTGTTTTGCAGATCTAGATGGATGTTTCAAGTAGAAACAAGCTCTACAGGTGGTGTGGACACTTCATTGACTTTGTGGACATTTGTTTCTCATGCAGGAAAAATGTGGAGAGATGCAGAGCAGGCACTGACTCTGATATGGCTTCTCTCTTGGACCTCACACAGCATGTGTAAGTGAGGGAAACACAGTTTCAAAGAATAAATTCAGACAGTTGTTGTGTTTATCGATTTTTGTTGTTGTTGTAAACTATTGGGTTTTGGTGAGCGATTTTCTATAATTTAATCATTTGGAGGCCTGTTGTTTATATACAATCCATCAGCAAACAGGATACAGATTTTTAAATTCTATACTGAATTTAAAGGAAGTATAATTCAAAGAATTCTAGTTTTTAATCATACATTTTAGTTTTCAGTATATGAAACACCCATAAACACTTTACAACACACTAAATAATAATATGGGCTATTTGCAGCATTCAATAATATTCTGTTAGTCTTTGAATACCACTTTTAGTTTAGTCCTAATATTCTTACAGATATGTTTTCATATACTCTTGAATTACACTATCTTTCCAGGTCTTTCTCCTCCGGGGAGGCCCACACTAACAAGATGTCGGTCGCCTGAGAAAGAGACTTTCACTTGCTGGTGGGAGCCTGGATCAACAGGTGGACTGCCCACCAGCTACCACCTGTATTTCAGAAAAGAGAGGTGAGTGCAGCCTACATCACTATTCAGCATTGTTCAGCTTGCTGTGAAAAAAGTATATTTCCATTATTTTTTCCCTGTATCAGAATATGGGTAGTTGCCTCATTAGCCGGGTTTCCATCCAAAGTTGCGAATTTAACTTGTGCGCAAAACTGGAATATCGCATAAAACATTTGCGAACAAGCATCGTTTCCATCCAACGAGTCAGAGAGAACAAAATCGTCACTTCCTGATAAACTGGCACTATACATCACTAAGAAAAGTAGGAGAAGCTACTGAATATAATAATTTTATATATTATAAATTACTTGCACCTCAGAACGAGCAGACGAAACACAATGAATGCGGTTATTGCTTTCGGAGGTGGATGCTGCTGTTTGGGAACGCAGTCGTTTAACAGTTCTGGGAGGCAATTATATAGAAATACTTTGACAGACTTTGCTCGGGCATTTCCGAATGACCATAACAACATTTCAGATGCTGTGGAACAAGATCGGTCCGCTGGTTAGTCAGGATTTGCCGTCCCATAGCGCAAAGTCACATGACTTTTTTGATGCGCTTGGAGGAATTTATTCGCAAAATGCATTTCCATCTCCCATTATTCGCATTAACCATTTTTCACACAGGTCAAAAACCACCTCAAGCAAGCGTAAAAACTTTTTTGCGAATTAAGGCATTTTTATTCGAAATTCAGCGTTTCCATCACTCGATTCTGATGCGATACTTCAAAATGCGCATAAAAGCAGGGTGATGGAAACCCAGCTAATTAGTAGTCGACCTACACTTGTGTTTAAAAGTTTGAGGTCAGTAAGTGTTTTTGTTTTTTTGTTTTTTTATCAAGAAATTCTTTTAATTTTTTTTATTTTAATTAAGAAATTAATACTTTTTCTACAAGGATGCATTGATTAAGTTATCAAACTGAATTTTGAACAAATTGATGTTAGCAGCAATTAACATCATTTAATTATGTTAAAAAATGAACACATTGAACATATCATTTGTTCAAAATTCAGTTAAGAATTTAAGACAGAAACTGTTTTTAACACTTTACAATAAGGTTCAATTTACTAACATTACTTAATGCATTAGGTATGAACTAGCAATTAAAAATACTGTTACAAAATATTAATCCTGATTAATGTTGTTCTACATATATTAGGGATGGGAAGATTCCCCGATTGGCTCGGTGCATCGGCATAAAAAGTTAACAATGCGATGCATCGGTTTAAAAAGTGTGCATCGGCTACAAGTTGGAATTTATATCCATCGTTATAGATGCGTTAACGATGCATCGTTTCTAACATATTTGCATCGGTAAAAAAACGATTTATTTATATATAATTACTAGTGGATGTGCTATACTTTTATTATTTAGAAAGTGACCAATAATCTGTGACCAATATTTTATATGTAGATTGATTTCTCCTCTCTAAACTGTTTCTCA